TAATATGGGACTCCAGTATTTTTCTCACTTAATAGAAAGGGACCTTAGATTTAGGTAAAAATTATTGCTAAAATTTCCACTTTGGGTAGAAAATCAGCTGGTGTACACAAGGAAAACTGCATTATTTCAAAGAAAAATTCAATTGGACTCTAGCATCAATATTCCCTAAAGCCTAGAATAAGTTACTCTATACATGTTTTTACTCTAAACATAACTTGAATTTACTTCTTTTTTCAGGGATACACTTCAATATAATCAAAGTCTCTTAGCCTTGGTGCTACAGAAATAAGTGTTGATTAATGAAAAAAATAAATATTTAAGCGAAACCTGATTCAAACTTTGTTGCTTTAATTTAATAAATATTAGACTGCTGCATTATCTTACTACCTGAACCATACTAGGGATAGTGGTTCACAAAATGTGTGTTTGATAATAACTTACTAATAAATATAAAGGGGGGGATTTCGGCCCTCTACCAACTTGGCACGGGTCAAATGGGCACAGGCCAACTCGGCCCACTTTGGAAAAAAAACATAACTTTTTCTGATAACTGCAAGCTGTTTCAAACTTTTTTCCTTGACATGTCAAAGTCAAACATTCAGTATCAGGCATAATTTCAGTTTCAAAGTCAAACCGGCAATCAAAAATAAACATGCATGAAACAATTTGCTGATCACTTATAAATTCAATATAACAATCTGGCACATAGTAAATATTTACAATTTCTCCAAGAAAATCGCCTGGCCTGTTTGTTATGTTTATCGAAATAATATGACGTGAATATTGATGATGTCATTTTGGAAATTATTTATGAATTGTGACGTCACTTTATTAAGTTGGTGCTTAAAACTTAACTATTCGCTATCTAATCTGTTCATAATTGAAAACGAATAAAATAACAAATAGACTTGTCAGGATATTAGATAAAATTGTTGGATTAAAGGCTAATAATTTATTGAAACAAGTCTGTTAAAATGGGGGGAGCTTATTTTTGATATCAGACAAGTGTTATCGAGCAGTTATCATCGCAGTTGCATGATAAAAATTAATATAATACAAATGTGTTAATTTCAAAATGATGCTTTTTGTTTGTAAAGTGATCTTCAATAAAAAAAGAAATATAAACTTGTTTACTTATTATCTAAAATATTTTTAAATGTTTGTTATTTATCTTGTATACATAAAACAACATGTAACGCATTTATCAACAGGCAATGTATTTTGCAATGTCACAAGGATGGATTGTAATGAATTCATATATCCCAAATCATTGAAAACTCTATTTCCAAAAATCAGGTACGTATATTAATATACGTACCTGCAAAAATGTAATAATAATTTAAGAAAACGACTTTCAACGTTTGTGAATAAGTCCATATATCAATAATATGGTTCCAACAACAGACAGTGATAAAACAAACCAATATATTAACACTGATAATCAGATTAATAAATTTTTAAATGGGCCGAGTTGACTATGGAGTTGATCCATGCCGAGTTGGAATAGGGCCGAGTATGTTAGGGCCGAGCCGACACTTATTCAAATCAAATACATATAATTAGACAATATATCAGTAAACTTAAGCAGCGGCTTAAACAAAATTAAGAAACGAAAGGTTGAGCTACCGCCCATTTCTTAAAACAGACGGGCCGAAACAGACTGACATGGCCTACAGTACCTGTAAGCATTAATAAAAACTAACATACTTTCATCGATGCTTGAAATAACCACATTCTAATATAAAATATCAAAACAAGCTTACCTCGATCAAAGCTCTTCGATTTTCCAGGATTTTCCATCAACTCGACATCGGGAACGAACGATGTCGAAAGACTGCCACTGATTTGGCCACACGATACGTTGTCACAGATAAATAAAAGTTGGTATCGTAGAAAATATCTCTATGCTCATGAATAAAAGGAAGAACTACACTTGGATTAATTAATGAGCTTCTAAACGAGGTTAACACACAATTGTACCAGAAAGTCTTACATTTCTCACGGCCCCGTCCGACAACTACCTGCGCATGCGCAGAACGTAAAGTCTTACGTTTCTCACGGGTCTGACAAAATTCACGCCACACCGGCTCTGGAAAAGTTTGTTTCCGTTTCCCGTCACTACGCAACATAAAGAAATATCGTTGCCATCATATACAACCGATAATAGTCTGTTTCGAAGCAAAAATGAACAAAAGTTGAGACGAAGCGTACAAACGGCAGCCATTTTATTTCTGGTTAACATTTGGTTAAAATTTAACCCACCTCCTATACGTGGGTTAATTTAACGAGAAATTTACGCTGGAACTTAAATTTAACCAAAATTTTATACAAATAAAAAATATAAACTGGTACTAAAATTACATTTGCAATTACAATAACATACAGAAATAAAAAAAAATCACACACACTGCACAGAGAAAGTTAATCAATATAGTGTATTTAATATACATGTAGTTGAGAAAACCATAACAAACATATCAGTTTAACAAATACAATATTTGTAAAAGAAAAAATATAAACAAATAACTTAACAAAGGAAAAAACACACATAACAATAATGCTAAAACTAATAATAAATAAGTTACAGTGATTTTTGTGGCTCAACTTTGGTTACATTAAGTTGAAGGTTAATTTCATTCATGCACATATATACATGATGAAAATATGTTGGTTTTATTTCTAAACAATATTGTCACGATTTTAGAAATTAAAAAACCTATGTTATAGTTTGTCTCTTTGGTAACAGTTTTTGTACAGTGACTGCGTCAAAAGTCAATTAGTTCTGACAAAAAATATCAGGCCGTGCATTTACAAAATAAAGGTCAGGATCAGGATCAAATACACCTGGTTCTATTTTCATTGTTTAATGAAACTAACATTTATCATATTAGGCCTTAATAATATGCTACATATACAGAATGTCAGAATGTATAAACAATCCTGGTTTGCAAAATAAACTAGAACTATCACTAAATGTGATTAATACCCCCACAAGACTGCTTCGGAAATGAGGATGTTACTAGTAACAGAATACCTTGTAAAAGAATTGAAATATAGAGTTATGGTTGTTGGCAATTAAAGATATTTGTGGTTCTTGTATGTTGCATTTCCTTTCAATGTGGTTGGCCATTGACGAAGTTTAATTGAATTACTCTGTAATAAGTCCAGAAAGACAAAGAAAAGGAACAAAGGGCAAAAACTCTATAAAAACTGAAGATAGAGTTATAGTTCTTGTGCACTGCACTTCCTCTTTTTGTGCTTGAACATTGTATGAAGTTGTTTTGAATTCCAACCAGTACGTTTTAAGTTATGCTCAGGACAAGGAAAAGTATCGAAGGGCAGTAACTCTGTATTTTGTCAAAATGGAGTTATGGCTCTTGTGCACTGTACTTCCTTTTAATGTCCTTGACGACTGTATGAAGTTGTACTGAATTCCAAACAGTAGTTTTCAAGTTATGCTCTGGACAAGGAAAAGTAACAAAGGGCAATAACTCTGTAATTAGTCAAGATGGAGTTATGGTTCTTGTGCACTGCACTTCCTCTCAATGTGCTTGACCATTGTATGAAGTTATATTGAATTCCAACCATTAGTCTTCAAGTTATGCTCCGGACAAAAAAGCAATGGAAAAGTAACAAAGGGCAATAACTCTGTAATTAGTCAAGCTGGAGTTATGGTTCTTGTGCACTGCACTTCCCCTTATTGTGCTTGACCATTGTATGAAGTTGTTTTGAATTCCAACCAGTAGTTTTCAAGTCATGCTCTGGACAAGGAAAATTAACAAAGGGCAGTAACTCTGTAATTAGTCAAGATGGAGTTATGGTTCTTGTGCACTGCACTTCCTCTCAATGTGCTTGACAATTGTATGAAGTTATATTGAATTCCAACCATTAGTCTTCAAGTTATGCTCCGGACAAAAAAGCAATGGAAAAGTAACAAAGGGCAATAACTCTGTAATTACTTTAAATAGAGTTATGGTTCTTGTGCACTGCACTTCCCCTTATTGTGTTTGACAATTGTGTGAAATTGTTTTGAATTCCAACCAGTAGTTTTCAAGTTATGCCCCGGACAAGGAAAAGTAACAAAGGGCAATAACTCTGTAATTAGTCAAGATAGAGTTATGTTTCTTGTGCACTGCACTTCCTCTCAATGTGCTTGACCATTGTATGTAGTTATATTAAATTCCAAACATTAGTCTTCAAGTTATGCTCCGGACAAGGTAAATGCAACGGACAAAAAAAAAAGCAATGGAAAAGCAACAAAGGGCAATAACTCTGTAATTACTTTAGATAGAGTTATGGTTCTTATACACTGCACTTCCCCTTATTGTGTTTGACAATTGTGTGAAGTTGTTTTGAATTCCAACCAGTAGTTTTCAAGTTATGCCCCGGACAAGGAAAAGTAACAAAGGGCAATAACTCTGTAATTAATCAAGATAGAGTTATGGTTCTTGTGCACTGCACTTCCTCTCAATGTGCTTGACCATTGTGTGTAGTTATATTGAGTGCCAAGCATTAGTCTTAAAGTTATGCTCCGGACAAGGAAAATGCAACGGACGTCTGGACTGACCGACCACCCGACCGACCGACCGACCACCGGGTGACTCCTATATACCCCCCCAAACTTCGTTTTTGGGGGTATAACAAAAACAACCTTTTGGATAAATTGATGAATTACAATACATAATAGAAGAAAAGAAGTATCAAAATAAGGATCAATTTAAGGACCAAGCTCAATATTTAGATCAACTGTTAAACATGTATATCTTGTAAAGTAACTGCTTCCCTAAAATTTCATAAACACGCTTTTTCAAGTCCACTTCTATGAAGTTAATATTAAAAGAAAATCTTTTAGATCAATGGAGATTTTTTCTGTTTTGAACTGTTTGATCCTGATCCTTGAATCATAGTGAACATGGGGTCAGAAGATTAAAATTTGTTGGTTTTATGTCTCAACTATATGGACTTTTTTAAACTAGCCCTGTTATAAACGGATCTAAACATTAGTTAACTGTTAAGGTGATACAGTCACTGCCACAGAATAAAATATAATTCATATACATATAATAATATGATAGCCTGCATAAAACCAAGTTATAAAATACGAAGGCACATAGTCGTGTGGTTTTGTCAGTATACATGTATATATATTATCAGATGATGAAAATAATGTTTATATAAATTTATTCTTAAATGAATTTTGAGAAAATTAACATTAAACAATATGTCTTTTTTTAATTGGAAACAAACATTTAAGTTATCTCTAACTGAATCCCTTAATAAAGACAGATAATCAAATGGTAAGACAAAACAATTAAATGATAAGAAAAACTGGTTTTACTTCTACATTATGGGGATTAAAATCAACAGACGGGCCTTTCTATGTCCTGCTGAAAAACATGATAAAAACCCTGATTTTTTAAAGAAATAATTTACTAGATATTTGAGCAGTCCACGGTCACTGTACTACCTAATACTTTGTATCTACAGCTATTCTACTCGTATAACACAAAAATGTCATCCTTCATCAATGAATTCCATTCTGGTACCCATTGTGTGCTTCGTTGTCAAGTTCATCCTCTGACCGAGCCTTGAACCCATTTCTCATCTCAGTCACATGACCTTGTGTTGTTATAGTCTTACTATTTCTATACATTAACTTGAATCCTTGATACAAGGTCTCCAGCTGGTTGTATAAATCATCAGCATCTTTTTCATCTATATTCAACTAAAATATTGGTAATTAATTTAAATTTTCCAAAAAAAAAGAAAAGGAAAACAGGTTCTGAGTAACAAGTTTATTTGAGGAAAAAAAATATGATGTGCTGTGGGTTCGAATCCCGACAGGGACTTTGGATTTTTTCATGTGAGGAAGCTATCCAGCTAGCTTACGGAACAACGGTTTTTCTACTCAGGTGCCCGTTCGTGCCTGGAATAATGCACGGAAGGGCACCTGAGGTCTTTCCTCCACTAGTAAAGCTGGAATGTCGCCATATGACCTATACTGTGTCGGTGTGACATAAAACCAAATCAAACAAACAAACATGTGAGAAAATGTTTAGAGATAAAAAGAATAAACACTATCATGGGGAAAGCTTGCAAATTCATAATAGAATTCTAAATATATATAAAAAAATACCCCAAAATGACATGATGTTTGTCTGTTTTAACAATGGTAACTTCTTGAGAGTATCATGAAATGTGATACAAAATTAACTGACAAAAAATTGCACCAGTGAATTAACAGTACATGTAAGCAGCCTGGCAGCTCAGTCAGTCAAGCTGTCAAATGATATTCAGAGGGTCAAAGGTTTGAGTTCCAGATTGTATTGTACATTTTTCTTGCATCAATAAGAATAAGTACTGGTAGAGTTTAAATGTATACCTTTTCTTCACCAACATATGGTCTACCAAGCACTGAACATAGACTGCAGTATTTTATCCTTGGATTTAAGCTTTCACATTTTTGCTTGGTTACATGAATCTGGAAATAATAAATTAAATCATGTCAGGTATTATAAAAAAAAACTATTTTCAGAATATTTTAACCAATCAAAAAGGCATTAAATGTTTTATTTGATAGATGGCATATTTCTTGCTATCAATATATTACCATAGTTTTTAGAGTGAATGGGCCATTTAGCTTAAATCAAGGAGAAAACATTTCTGTATTAAGGTATAGCACAAAATGAAGTCTTCATTCAAAAGTTGTTTAAGACAAAAGTGTGGTATAAAGAATTTTGTTTAGAATAAAAGAATTTTGTTACATAAAAAGTCTATTAAACAACATGTTATAATGGACAAAAACCTACTTAAATGACATGAAACTACCCAACATGATCCACAATATAAATATGATTAATAACAAGATTCACAATATAATAATCATTAACATGATCTACAATATAATTATTATCAATTAACCCCCATAAAACTCTTCAAAAATAATTGTTAATCTCTATGCCAACATTATAATGCCATGCCTGTCAGTGCACTTAAAAAACCCTTTGCTGCCTGAGACATTTCTAAGAAATACAAGAATTTACTAATCAACAAAAGATAAATACTTATTTTTCACTTGAAGTAGAAAAAAGAATGTAGTACATTAAAAATTCAAGCATTTTCTGGAAGAAAATAAACAATTATAAGATAAAGAAAAACATGACTTTGTATCCTAAATATGAGTCTTAAGATTCATCATTCATAGATGTTAGCAGAGAAAGTTTAAATATATGTTAGTGCAAGGAGATCATATTTACCAGAGCTTCTGCTGCATTGTAAGCACTACATGTTAAGGATCCCACAAATAGCCGCATCTGAAAATAAATGTACATTTTATAATGATTTCATCCTAAAACTCACACACTCATAGCCTCTATTTTTCAATTGAATTAGGAATTATTCTACCCTGAACAGAGGCAATGAACTGAGTATCAGTTTGTAGTTCAGTGCTTTAAAATTTCTTTGGTAACTTTAAAACTTATGTAAAATTCCTAGAATTATTCTTTTTATACTCAATCTTTATATTTGCCAAGGAAAGAACTTCAGGATTTAGATTATTGAAACTAAATAATTTCACAGTTTATATATTTTGCAATAATATTCCCCCTTACATATAGCTCTATACACTTAAAATAAAAAAGATCAAGCCAGTAAGAGCTTTAAAGTTGTTGTTATTTGTTTCTTTTTATGTTGATTATAACATATATTTGGTTACATCTCGGTGGTTATTTTTTCCAAACACCAATTTTCTGGATAATTTACCAGTAACTGCCAATATTTCTCTACAAATGGCCAACTACATATCCTCAGTGAGAGACAAATGACCATTAGAACAAGTCAATCAGTCAATTATCATGAACAAATTTTCTTCTTGTCCAAAGGATCGGACCAGAAACCCCTAGATTACAAATCCCATGCCCTCCATACTGAGCAAAATGCAAGTTTCTCATTCATGTCAATTAGCCATCTACCTATAGTTTCAACAAAACTGACTTTTTTAAATTTTCAACTCATTCAATTAATGTTTTAAGAAAAAGAAATTGCATCAGAAAAGCCAAGTAAACACAAGGTTACTCCCATATTTCCTTTACAAGCTTGATAAGGCTATTAATGTAATTATAAATGTACGTACAAAGAAGATGAACGGCATCACAAGGAACCACACCCATGCAGGAAGTATACCTAACGTCAAATTAGACATAACCAGGCTGGACAGGTGGTCACTGAATATATGCCCTGTAAATTAAACAATGAATAATCATTAGTGAATCTTATATATACTTGGACTTGAGTGAACTCTCACAGACTAAATATTAAAGGAATATTATGCTCATTTTTTCATTGTCAAGTTGAGCTAAATTTACTAAACATGTATATATTTCAAAATATTGACTGTTAAATTAGTGATTGTACTAACAGTTGATATTGCAAAATGTTTATGACAAATTATAGATTTGCCTAAAATATAAGACTGTCCCACCTTTTTAATAAACGGAAACATTAGAGTTAATTTTTTTTCAAATGTTATTATATAATACTGCAATTTTGTAACATCACTTTTCATTGGATAATCATGATGTTCATATTACCTATATTAACTTCTGCTGACAATTTATGTCATAATTTCTTCTTTTTTCATACAAAAAGATGCTGTTTATAAATTGTTATATTAAGATTTTTATATTTGCCATATAGACAGTATTTTTACAATACAACCTTCACCTACTAGCTTGAGTAATATAAAAAAAAAATATGCAAACAACCACTTCAGTAGGGTCAAAAAAATCTTTAAAGTAACTAATATTATATATAGTGTATTGATCACTTGAGAAATTAAGTTTTGTTTGATAAGGAAACCCTGAAAGAGAATAATTCATGTATGGAATACCTTTTTATTGAGTCTATCATTGAATGCCACACTGACAACATCTGTTGCATACTTTGATGAACTGTAGGGTTTCTCTCCCTGAAATGATTATCTCAAAATGTTATAATTTATTATTAATCTCAAAATGTTATAAATTATTATTAATCTCAAAATGTTATAAATTATCATTAATCTCAAAATGTTATAAATTATCATTAATCTCAAAATGTTATAAACTATTTTTTATCTTAAAATGTTTCAAATTATTATCATACAATTAAAATACAGTATCATGTAGCAACAGCTTTAATCAAAGGAGTCCCAAATCCACCACTGATTCATGCTAAGTTTAACGTAAACTGTTAATTTGCCCTTCTATACAGTAAAAATGTACTAATACATGTATAATGATTTTAATGAGCCTTATCACATTTACAATTCAATGACAGTAAAAGTATGCAAATATAGCCTTTTTTTTCTGCCAGCACCAGATTGGAAAGTATGATGTTGAAAATAATAATAAATCTTTCAATCTCTGGCAACTTTTCAAAAATAAATCAAGGATAATCATGAAACAATGGCTTCTGATGAATAACAAGGGAAAATTTGACAGCAGTTTTTTACTACATTCTAGGTGTACTGATAACAAAACAAGAGCCTGCAAGGGTAATGTAGGAATTCACAAAAATGAAGATTTCATTCAAAATCCACATCAAATACAAAGTTATCGATCTAAGATTCTGAATATCAATTGTAGATCTGAAGTCATTTATAAGTGAAGTTTCAAGTAAATACCTTGGGTAGTTGTAAAGTTAATCTTATAATGTATTTTGTCAGTGCTTGTGGATATTCGGAATATCTTAGTTTAAACAATATTTTATTTATAAACATTTATACACTTACATGACAATTAACAAATAATAAATAGTGCAGATTGAGTAGGAAGCATGAAAAGCTTTTTTAGACACTCTTTCTGTAATATCTTGCAAGCAAAACTTTCATCTGTTATTTTTGTGTCGCCTTAAAAAGGCGACATATAGGGGTTACTTTTGGTATGCATGCTTCTTTCAATAACCCTAGTGCAGTGCACAAGGACCAGTACTCTGCACTTCTTAATCTTTGAGTTATTGCCCTTTGTTAATTTTCATACTTTAATTTTGTCCGGGGCCATTTCTCTTCAACTATAAAAGCTATGGACTTGAACTTCATAGGATGATAGATCTCATTAAGAAGAAGTGCAAAGTGCATATTAAAGAAACCGGTACTCTGCACTTTTTATTTCTTAAGTTATTGTCCTTTGCTAATTTTCATACTTTATTTTTTGTCCTGGCCATTTCTCCTAAAGTTTAAAAGCTATGATCTTTTGGAAACTTTCATAGGGGATGGATAGATTTATTTGATTAAAAAAGTGCAGGCAAAGAAAAAACTGCTTGCCCCTTCTTATATTTTTGAGTTAATTTCCCCTTTTTCATTTTCCCTGTCCTTTGGCCATTTCTTCCCAAAAATATATTGTTCGTAAGACAACATATCCAACTCGTGGAGTTCTAGTATAAGTTTTAAAAGGACTTAATTCCGTAAGAATCAAAATTAAGTTAAGGGCCTTTGACAGTGACTTAAATAATAAATAAGGACATTTTGACTTCATACATATCTCAAAGGAATAATCCATGAATACTGAACTATTTTTCACCCCTCTCATCATTTACATATATTTTTATCACTCTCAGTATTTAACAAATCTCTCACTTTGTAACAATAACAAATTTTCCAAAACTAAAACATTACATTAAGAAAAGATATTAAGTTCATACTATAACTTTACCCATTTCTATGTTGTATATCTGTGTAGCTAAAGTCATCAGAATTAGCATTCTGTGATGATGTCCATATAATTTGTGTTTCCTGAGCTTTGCCTAAACAATCCTCCAGTTCTCTTACCTACAAACATTTTAAAATTGACACATTTATCTTTTATTTTGTATAATAAATTTAACCTGCTGTGCATTGTTATATCAAATAATTTCGATATAAAAGTGTTATAATTGAACAGTCAGCAGTATCTGTCTTGACTAAATGGATAAGCAAGCTGGCCAAGCTAGCATTAAAATGTGGTAGCAAAGACAGGTTGTCACCTCAGTGCAGTAACAGGTTAACTCCTCATATAATCTAATAGGAGTGAACTAATTATTGCACTGAGGTGACAACTTGTGTTTATAAAAGAAAACTTGTAACATTGGAAGTTTTAAGTATTTTACATGTTTTTCAGGACATGCTATGAGTTTTAAGTCACACCAACTAGAGGTTTAATTGATTTGGCAAAGAAAGACCTTGGGTGCTTACATAATTTGAAGCCCCAAGTACAATTAAACCATCCACCTTCCATAAATTAGGTTTTTTGTATTAAAATTGATATTAGCTAAATCTGTTTATCATTAATACAAGGAAATGTTCTGAAAATGAGACGATACAAAAATTTACCATAACAAAATGTCCGAAGAGATTTGTAGCAAATATTTCTTGAAGACCTTCTGGTGTTGCCTCATTGATATGGTTCAGTACTCCCCAGCCAGTACTCAATATTCGTACACCTTCACTGAATACAACATCAACAAAAATCACAACAAATTACAAAAATAAGTAAGAAGAAATATCTTTAAAAAAGATACTCAGACGAGGTAAAACACTGCTTTTACTTGTCTTTAGGTATGCACGTGTTTTTCTAGGATCATGGACGTTATTGGTAGTCTCGTCATTTTAGAATCTCATTTATAACTTGGTAAATTCTAAAGTTGAATAAGATATTCACTTTAGAATTAATGAAAAATTCTAAAGCAGTGTAAAATATTTATTGGGAGGAAGTTCAGACACAGATCTAAAATGTCTGAGCAATTTAACAAGAAAGTTTGTTTCCGATACTCCTTTATATTATTTTATAATTTGGACCTGTATACATTTCAGAAAGATCCTTTAGATAATTATACTAATTTTAGAATGGCCAATGAGATTCCAGGATTTCAGTTGTAATTTTAAGATGACTGATAAAAATCCTTCTGATATTCAGTTCTTCCCTGTAAATTTTACAACCATATTTTTAAATATGTAATCAGCCATGTGAATTACAACAACTGAACATTATCACCTGAAGAGGTTTTTTTATGGTTGGGTTTTATATCACACCAACACAGTATAGGTCATTTGGCAACTTCCAGCTTAATTGGTGGAGAAGACCACAATATTGCCCCTGTGTGCATTAATTCAGACACAAACAGAGAACTGAGTAGAACCACCAATATTTCATTAGCTAGCTGGATTACTTTCTCACATATAATAATCTGGAGCCACCCAGGCAGCACTGAAAACTACAGCAGTTAGAGGCAAGTGGTTTTGAAGTCAACCACCTTAACCACTGGACAACGGACACTCCCTTTACTGGAAGTAAAGTATCCAAGATGTCTTCACTTAACTTTGTCAAACTGCACATACTGTGATAGGCTGTCAAAAAAGTAAATATTCAAAAACTCAAATATATTTTATCTTTTTAGTAGATAACTAGCTCACCATTTTTATTAACATTCTAAAATACTTGAAATAAAGACTTTCTTTAACTAAGCAATAGGAAAATCACTTACCTTGAAAATATAGCTATAATTTTAGACCAATTTATACTGGAAACTTTCATTATTCCTGCATTCAAGTATATATAATCAAGTCTTGTAAACCTGAAATACAACAGTGAAATACATTCATGATTTTAAAAAAAAAAACAATGTGGGAAATATTGTGATATTTATTTCTATGAAGTTATTCATTGTGGTGTTGTTGGTTTTATATTAATATCTATCTTAATATGCCCTTTAATATCATTCAAAAGTATAAAGTGTTCATATTTTCATGAAGATCTCAGGTCCCTTTAACATATAAATCAAGGTCTTGTGTGCATCAATTAAACACTAAAAGGTATCATGTTCGAAAAAAAATATGTTCTTGATTCACTGAAGATAATGTTAGCTTTTTACTTTGTTGAAATATAATCTGGGCACTTTAAGTCTTCCAAAAATCACCAGTAAAGCTGAAATGTTGCCATATTACCTTTTCAGTGTAAGTTTGACTTAAAAGTTAATCCAAAAAGAAAATGAATTTTAAAAAAAGCTGCACAAAAGAATTTCTTGTCGAAAAAAAATTCAATTTACAGTCGTGTAATATGACATATTATACTTGTTCCTTATTTCCTCTGAAGCCCTAATAACTGACTGGACAGAACTTGTATCAACTATGACGATGGATATATCTGAATCAGGATGACGTCTCAGAAGTCTTGTTCTGGCATTCTCTGCACGACCCTTGTTGCGACATGCCAGACACACATGTATACATTCATGCTCCGACAGCAAACGGTCTGCAACTGATAATCCAACTCCACTGAAATAAAAAAAAAAAATGATTTTTTATTTCTTCATTTCTTTTACCTTCTTCTTTCTTTTACCTTCTTCTCTAATGTTCTAAATGGGTCACCTTACATAAAAACTGCTAAATCTATACCAATGAAAGAAAAAATTGTGATTTTTTTTTTCTACCATTTTTATTTTTTCACACAAAAAAAACCACACCAAAAGCCTTTAAACGGACTCAATTGCCTTTTTGACCATGACAGGACTGTAACTATTTTTTTTTATTTGATGTAAGTCTATACCAATAACTTGAATGTAATTTTTCTAGGGAAAAAAAATGCTGTAGTCGTGACTGATATTTTCACTGACTAATAACAAAACTAAAATTTTTTAATGATGAAAAATACACTGACAGAATTAAGGGCATATACCTATTTTCAGCCCAATAATTCAATGAACTTATACAATGTAAAAATTTCCAATATTTTGACCTTGACAATAATTTTGAGACATGACTAGTTTTGATCAAAGTAAATTTTTATATGGTTTTCAAAAAACCCGTTTTTCCCTTTTTTAAATTTATCTAAAAAGTAAAAAATGAATGTAATTGCTTTTTTTCTTTGTTAAAAATTTTCTCCCGTAAGACTTTTTCTGAAAAAATTTAAAAGACAAAAATTTGTTTTCAAAAATAAATTTTTAAAAAAATTTTTTTTTTAGCCCCAAAATAATTTTTATATTAAATCAAATTAAAAAAAAACGGGTTTACCTTGAACCCTTTTTCACTTTTCAAAAATTTCTGCTGCATGGGTCATGTAAACATTAGGACATGTATTTAAAATTATTATGACGGTAAGTAATAGTGCTCAGATCATCAATCCTATATACTGTTACATTATTTTATGGAATTTCAGGTATTCTTCCATTTTGTGAAACATTAAAAATAAACATTCAAATGAAATTTATTCAAGTTATCGATTAAAAAGTGATTGACTTTTCCTAAAACCAGTATGAAGCCAGTCTCAGAGTACATGTAAAACTGCACATCTATTTTACAAGATTCTAGCCTCATGCTACCCTGATGCTAGAATCTTGTATTATTTCATCAGGCTAGCATCTTGTAGTAATAGATGGCAGAGAAAAAATTTTTCATGTACCTAATTTAAGGGAAGGGAAAAGGGGTTTAAATAGATAAAAATGTATATAATTTCATCAATTTAATTGATCGGGAATGTGACATTTTGGGTATATTTAGGGAGAACCCAAAATTTTGCATCATGATTTAAAAGTAAACCATTTAATGTTTAAAAGAGTCGGGGTCAAAATTAACCCAAAAAGATGTTCCCGTATTTTGATTTTTTCAAAGGGGATCAATTTTTAAATAAAGAATACGTTAAAAAAAAAATAAACTTTTAAAAAAAATATTGGGTAACATTTAACCCCGGTGCTCCATTTTGGGAAGCTGGCCCAAATGACCTAATAATAATTAAAACAAAAATACATTTAATTAAAATTATAAATTTACTTTAAGGGGAAAGCAGGGGGAAAATAAAACTTTGGGGGTTTGAAATTTTGCTTTTTTTCTTTTTTAAATTCAAACAGGTTTTAAGTGTTTAAAAAAAAATTTAGTACCAAAAAGGGCGGATTCAGTTTTAAAAAAATACTTTTTAACCTTTTATTACAATTAAAAACATCACATAAATGCTAATTTTTTAAAAGGTAAATTTGGTTAAATATTAAATATTTTAAAAAGATTGGCATAATTTTTTAAAAGGGGGAACCAAAATTTATAATAAAGAAAAATTTATGATACAATAAAAGGAAAAATACCTTTAAATTTTTAAATTTTAAAATTTCTCCCTGGGGGTTGGTTTAAGATTTAACCAAAAGGGATAACGGTAATTTTTTAAAAAATATTATAAAATTTTCCCTTTTGGCCTTGGGAGTATTTGTTATCATAGTAAAAAAACAATTTTAAAAAACATTGTTATGGTCATTTTAAGGTTAAATTTTTCGGGCTTATAGCCCTTTTCAAAATAAAAACTTTACAACGGGGTAAAAAACTCTAGGGGTTCATCAGAAAATTTTTTTATATTTAAGGTTTTTTGCTTTAAAGAAAACATATTTAAGACATCAGTTTAAAATTAAAATGGGCTTGTCTAAATTTTTTTCCCTTTTTAAAAACCCAAAAAATTCAAAGTTTTAGGAAAAATAACTGACAAATAAGCACGGCTTAAAAAAATAGAGGGAAATTTAAAAAATTTAAATTGACCCCTGTATTTTTCTGGTTGGGGGATAACTTTGGCCGGGTTGGGTAAACCGGGCTTTTTTAATTAAATAGAAATTATTCCCAATTTTTAAAAACTTTAACCAAACTCCCCCCATGCTCATTACATTTGGGAATTCCCAAGGGCTGGAAATTTGTCCAAATTTTGGGAAAATAATTAAAATAAAAACAAAAGACTTTAATGTTTGTTTCAAAAAATGCCCTATAAAAAGGGAGGGTATCCCATTGTTGGCGCAGTGAGGGAGATTTTTCATTTTTGGGGGCCCCGGACAGGGTATGTTTTTATATTACGAGCTACCGGGAAAAAAAGACGACGTTTTGTATAATTTTGTAATGAAAACCCGACTCACTTTGTTTTTAGACTGTAAAAAGGGGATTAAAAAATTGAATCTTTTAAATGGAATGGATGAATCTATTTAAAAATCCTTTTATATGTTAATGTGTAGGTTTAAAACCCAAAAATAAAATTTTTTAAATCACTCTGTTAAACTAAGGGGGGGGAAAAATTTTGAAACACTTATTCTTTTCCCAAATATTTGTTATTAAAGTTAATTAAAAAGATTATGCAAAATTTTTTTTACGTTAAAAAAGATTTAAAGTTACAAAAATTTTTCATAAAATGTTTTTCATAGATAATTTAAAACAAAGATCCAAAATTTTGGGTAAACAAATTTTTTATTTGACATAAATGAACAGCAATGAAATAAATAAAATGTCTAAACATGTTATTTACGTTTTAACTTGCTCATTTAAGAAGAAAAACAGAGAGCCGGAATTATCTACTCGCGGGCGGTTAAAAATATCATTTTTACGTACCTCTCCCAGGCCTCTCAAAATTACCCATTATGTTTCTAAATATACCTTTTATGGTGATACCGGAAAATCGAAGAGCTGAAGTTTATTATGGTGCAAGATCATCAGAATACGTAAACAAATAAATGAAATATGCCCCCAAAACACTGATTTTCGGCCGACTTTATCTCCCAAACCAGTATATGTTGTTTTTTTTTCTAGCATGGAATTATATGTATGATTATACTGAATCATTTTTCCATTTAATATTTCACTTTGATCCAAAACTAGACCAAACAATACTTAATTGATATTGCATGCCATTTAGGCCAATTCCCAAGAGCTAAGGTTTAGAGTTGTCAAAAACTGTTGAAAGTTATACCTAATATAGCTTATTACAGTAAAGGGAGTATTCTCCAGAAGTTATCTTTCTGAAAACTTTTGCCTGAAAGTCTCAAAGAGGTTGCTCATTCATATTATAAATGTAGTATTATTCTTCTTTCTTATGAGAAGGAAGACCTATATTTGATGAAATTCACTGAGACGTGATAATATTAACTTCACCAAAAAACCAAAGCATTCAGAATGTATATGGATTGTGCCATTGTGTTCTATGGACAGCGTCATTTTGATATCAGGAAGTTTTATACATTCAGTTTAGAGGTGAACACAGATACAGTAGCAGCAGACAACAGAAAACAGTTTAACTGAAAGAAGCAAAGTTTAGGGAAAAAAAAGGCAAATATATTATTACTCATCACACATTGTATCTGACCTATAATATAAATGTCATTTAGCGAGTTTTAGTTATTTCTTTGCTTTCTGTAAATACATAGTGTTCCCCTTAAAATCTGACTAGTCCATTTGTTTATTGCATCAAAAAAGGCATTGTTTTGGTCTTTTTCACAGTTAAATTGTCCAGTCAGTTATAGTCCGTTTCAAGTCAAAGGAAACTACATCGGCTTGATGCTGTTTATCAGTTTAACAAATTCAATCCTTATCCATTTTAAATTGACTGTTGATTAAGTAATAGTTAGTGTTAAACAACCATTATTGCACATTTTACACAATTCATTATCAATCTCTCACAAGTCAACATCATTTATGTACATGTCTTACATACATATGAACTCTCCCACTTTTAGCGGGAGACTCCCACTTTTAGCGGCAGACTCCCACTTTCTGCAGCCACATGTTCAAAGATTTTTCTTAAAATTAGGGGTATTTTCACAAATTAAAGAAATCTCCCTCTTTTTGATGTCAGAACTTTCTTCTTTGTTTAATATTGCAAATTCTAAAATCTCACTCTTTTTGAAGAAAAATCTCCCACTTAATCATTGAAAAAAAGTTCACATGTATGGTCTTACAAACTTATTATCAGCAGCAATGTTTCCTACGATTTTGTTTCTGACTCAGAGAACTCAACTAAGTTGTTAATATTGTAAGTTATAAATCTTTAAAGATATAATTATGTAAAAAAAAAAATCCAAATTCTATACCTGGAGCCCTGTTTATAAAATTATAACCATACAGTCCAACCCCACTTATTCGAAGTGCCTGGGACTGAAAATTTACTTCGAATAATCGATCAGGGTTCGAATAATCGAAATCAGAATATTGTGATAAGACGAAAAACTACTCCACTTTGACCAATAGCAAAGCTACCGTTTACAACACTAATACTTCCTGCAATCAATTGAGAAAAATAAATATTAAAGAAAAGATGCTTAAAAATTATATTTTGGTCATTGAAGACATAAATACTTGCATTTTATTCTACATTATGTATCATATTATTGTTTCATGCAAAGCCTTGATAATGGCCGTGTACTCACTATGGTATTTACAGCTAAATTTTGGTATTTTCGATTAGGGTAATGGGCTCTCATGTAGCGTTACAATCAATGAACAAGGGTGCCATAGTCACAAAATACGCCAGTTAACGAAAGCTTTAGATGGAGATGGGGGCATTATGGATAAGTTTTTATTCTTGGCACTGTGTTGTTAAATGAACCTTAAAACAAATCAGTAGGGAAGATATGCACAGGATGTGTGACCTTGACCTTGGTCGCAGGGACCTGAATTTTATGCACGGCACTCAGCCTCACAATGATGAACATTTGTGCCAAATTATATTGAAATCCCTCTATGCATGTAGAAGTTTTGCTCCAGACAAGCGTTTTTCTATGAGCTCTAACTGTGACCTTCACCTTTGACCTAGAGACTTGGTTCATGTGCAGGGCACTACGTCTCATGGTGGTGAACAATTCTATAAAGTAACATTAAAATTCCTCCATGCATGTAGAAAATATGCTCCGGACAACATCTGGATATTTAATCATCTCCAGTGACCTTGACCTTGCAAATATTAACCTAAATTAAATGTGTCACACCTGTAGTCATGATAGTTACCATTTGTGCTACAATCCATCAATAAATGATGACTAAATGGTCCCTATACACATCTTCAAATTTTTATCTGAACTTTGACCTCTATGTGTGACCTTGACCTTGGCCGCAAGGACCTGAATCTTGCGCGCGACACTCCGCCTCACAATGGTGAACATTTGTGCCAAGTAATATTGAAATCCCTCTATACATGTGGAAGTTTTGCTCCGGACAAGCATTTTTCAATGAGCTCTAAGTGTGACCTTGACCTTTGACCTAGAGACCTGGTTCATGTGCGCGACACTGCTCCTCATAGTGGTGAACATTTCTATGAAGTTTCATGAAAATCCCTCCATACATGTAGGAGAGCTGAACTGATATTTACTTGAAAATTAAAATATAATTAAATTTCTATGAGAAAGTATTTACATTTGATAAGGTAATTACTGTATGATCTTTATGAACAAATACCAAGTCTACAGAACACCATAGTTATCACAGTTAAGAATCTTGACCAATGAATGAAACATGTGTAAATAAATGTTACATTCTTTAGAACATACTCAAGTCCAAGAAAGAGGATTATTTTATGCCCTTTGATTAAATTCTATTTTTAGAATTGAAAGTGAAAGTAGATCAAGGGGAGTAATTGTGTAAGTCATTTATGAACAAAGTAATAACTTTGTTGTCGCCCTTTGATTAAATTCTATTTACAAAATCTGGATATTTCATCATCTTTAGTGACCTTGACCTTGTATATATTGACCTAAATTATATGTATCACAGCCATAGTCTAGATAATGACCATTTGTGTTACAATCCCTCAATAAATGATGACTAAATGGTCCATATACACAGCTTCATATTTTTATCTGAACTTTGACCTCTATGTGTGACCTTGTCCTTGGCCGCAAGGACCTGGGGGCCGTTTTATCAACGTGTCGTAGTCTACGACAATTTTTTGTCGGTGTCATACGTCTGCGACAATGTCGTACGACCGTTTTATGAAACGTGTCGCAGACGTTGTGTTTCTGCGACGTCGCAGCCTTTGTCGTAGACAAAATTTACGCGAGACACAGTCTAGCCAGTGCGCGCTTTGACGTCACATATGAAATCAAAGTACTAAAAGTATTGATGTAATTTACATGAATATTATCAAACGGATAAATTGACATGATTATTATAAAACGGATAAATATTTTAATGTCATTCAAAGAACATTTTAGTGAGAAATACAGCATATTATATTTTCTGCACTCGATTCACCCCTTAAAATATTATGTCACGCTATGGACAGTCCCGACATTTAGGGTGGAACCTGAATGCTAAAGAAAAACAATTGAAATATGTTTTCTTTTTATTCTGAAAAAGTTATTTAATAAAAATAATGTGCTGAGCATGCAGTGATTGCCAGTCTTGACGTCACAGAAACCTCGTACGACAGCCCCAACCCTGTCGTAGAGCTGTGACATTTTCTACGACGTCGTAGGCTACGACAAACGTTCATAAAACGGTTTTAACGTTCTGCGACATGTCTGCGACAAAAAACTAGCCTACGACATGTCGTAGAGCGTTGATAAAACGGCCCCCTGAATCTTGCACGCGACACTCCGCCTCACAATGGTGAACATTTGTGCCAAGTAATATTGAAATCCCTCTATACATGTGGAAGTTTTGCTCCGGACAACCATTTTTCAATGAGCTCTAAGTGTGACCTTGACCTTTGACCTAGAGACCTGGTTCATGTGCGCGACACTGCTCCTCATAGTGGTGAACATTTCTATGAAGTTTCATTAAAATCCCTCCATACATGTAGGAGATATGCTCTGGACAAAATTGGACGCCGCCCGCCCGCCAGGGGCGTTCCCATAATACGTCCCGTTTTTCAAACGGGCGTATAAAAACATGTTTTGGATGTTTTGACAAATTCACATATGATATAGATTACATGTATGAAAATTATTGCTGTCATCTTCAAGCAATAACAGTAACAACATCGGACACAGTGCATTGCTTTTCATTTTTGGTAATTAAAGTTGATTAAAGAACGCACAAAGTGTAATTATCATGATTGTCTAAATACACTCATGACTGTTGATATTTTTTCACAAGTCTACTGGTCAGCGAGTGGATCTATGCCAATTAGTCTGGCTTCGAATAATAATTAGTCTGGCTTAGAATAATAGGTGTGAAATTCTTTCATAATTGTATAATCGGGACAAAAATTTTACTAAGAAAAATATGAGGTATTCGAATAATGCATTTCGAATAATATGCTTGTATTAATATTGATTTATCTAGAGATAAAAACGGGACCCCTGACCTACTTCGAATAATGCCGGGTATTCGAATTTAAAAAGAATTGTCGAATAACCGGCGTCGGACTGTATATTGCCCCCTTAGAGAAGGAATTTTGGTACAAAGCTAAAATTGTGTAACATACATATTCCAAATAAATTAATCATAACTTATATTGCTCTTACACTTGGAAAAAGTTCATCATCTACATCTACATGTTACTCCCGAACAATCAATTCTGACTTTGACTGGGGGCATCTGTCATAGTAATAATTTAAGCAAAATCTGACATAACAATCACACACCGAACACACAGTACTATAGATCTACACTACAGTACTCATGACTGTATTTAGCCAAAGAGACTTCAGCGAACAGGTTTTATAGTACTGCTTGACCTTTTACTGTCGCACAATGTCAAAATAAAAGCGACATATTAACCCAGAACTAAACTGTATTATGACAATTGATATTGATCTAATCATTTATATACGGTGCATAGAAAAACCGGAAAGCACCGGATAGCACCGAAAAACCGGATAGCACTCAAATTTCTCATAAAAACATATGAAAACTTTATTTTATCGGTTTGAAAGTGTAACCAATCGATTTATTAGATCAAAATCTGTCAGACAAGTCATTTTTATAAATATTGATTGATAATTATTACGAGTATTTAGGAAAATAGATATATCAAGTACTTTCCGGTCCTGTTAACTTTACCGAATAGAAATATAGTTACTCAAAGCAATACATGAAAACTTTATTTTCTTGGTTGAAAGTGTTTCCAATTGTTTTATTAGGTCAAAATCTTCCAGACAACACGTTTTTATAATTATATTATAATTATTATTACGATTATTTAGGAAAATAGATATATCGGGTGCTTTCCGGTCCTGTTAATTAAGTACGGAATAGCAATATAATATTTCTCAAAAAAAAATCACATGAAATCTTTGTTTTATTGTTTTGTATTGTAAGTGTTACCAATCGATTTATTAGGTCAAAATAGATATATCGAGTGCTTTCTGGTCCTGTTAAGTTACATATACTTTATCGAATAGCAATGTCATTTCTCAAAGTAGATCTAATACATGAAAACTTAATTTTTTTAGTTTGAAAGTGTTTCCAATTGATTTATTAGACAACACGTTTTTATAATTATATTATGATTAATATTACGAGTATTTCGGAAAATAGATATATCGAGTGCTTTCTGGTCCTGCTAAGATAAATGCGGTACCCGATAAATGAACATTACCGAATAGCAATAAAGTTTCTCAAAGTAATACATGAAAACCTTATTTTTTCAATCGATTTGTTAGGTCAAAAACTTTATATATTTAGATAAGTCTAAATAATTTTGCATAATTCACACTTACGAATTTGCACCAGTAATAACCGCAACCTTTTTATCCATCATTATATAAAATATTTATTGCTTTAATTTACTTGAATCTTAGCGAAGAGCAATAAAGAGATTTAGAAAAAATTCTCCCAACAACAACTTCACAACTTTGACAGTTCCCGCAACGGTGACGCAGTAACTATTGCCTCGGAAATAAAATCGTTACTGTAGTGGGTAAAATGCTACTAAATTTTTATTTAAAAAAAATGAACTGTTTTTCAATATCTAAAATGGTAATCTTTTTATATATATGTATATAATTATAATTTCTTTGCTAAAAAACAACACCATTATATATCTAAACTGGGACAAAATATAACGTTCGTCCCAAATTTGAAACATACTTTTATATTATTATTATGAACTCGTATGGAGTTATTTCTAAATAATTGTAACTCGTATGGAGTTATTTCTAAATAATTGTAACTCCATACGAGTTCATAATTACAAATGCATAATAAAAAATCCTCTAAGCCAAATTTAAATGGAATTGGAAAATATTTGTGGTAATATGCACACTTTAAGTAAATTCTATGTCGAAAAAGTGCATTGTTTTGTAAAAAAAAATCAAAATGCTTGGTACAATTGCCTTCTCCTCAAGGTTGAGAACATGATGGTAAGGTCTGACTTTGTATTGTAACATATGATCAGCGATTGGCTGAAAAAAGCAGGGAAAACCGTAAGATTCAACGGGAGATGAGGTGATTGGATGAACACAGGATGCGCACAGGATTGACCACATTGTTTTCTTAAGAAAATGAAATATTTTATGAGTCTCTAGCATAATTTGTGACTTGGGTATTTGCATTTAAAAGTGTATGATCAGAATTTTTTATGGAAAGGGGGTGGGTAACGATTAGAAGTTATTTTGCAAACAAATTGGTTGGCTACCCCCATATATCAAGCCTTTCATTCTGGTATAAAAATCGACTCATTTAGCTTAAATGTAATATTAGGGACAATTTCTCATAATTTAAGTCAAACTCCTCACAGTGATTACCTCACTTGGCATATTGTAATAATAAAACAGAAATTTTAATTTGTGACATATTCTAATGTTCAGTATCTCTTTACATAGTGTAGCAGCAAAAGAAATAAAGAAAATAAAATGCGTCAAAGATGTTATGTAATATTAAGACCATATCTTTTAATTCAACGTTTGTGTAATTTTTTATCCGTCAATTATAGAAAACGAAACATTTTCCATTGTTATTTTGAAAAAAAATGTTGAGTGTGCATTTTTATTATAAATTATATTTAATTTAAAGACGATCTGTTTTTGCTTATTATTTCAAACAAAGTTAAACGAAGTAATCAACATATTTGGTAAAATAACCTATTTATTTGTAACGAAATCAATTAAGATATCTACTTCAACACAAGAACAGACGGGTAAGTATAAGCATGTGATACGCTTTGCCTGTGTCAAGTATTTTCCGGTAAAAATAGACCTAGAGAGTATAAACAGGACATATTGAGAGGAGACCGGCGAAAGAAACAATAGATCTAAGTCACTAAATCCTTGTTTATTAACCTTTTACCCCATGAGCATATTGCGAAAAATGGCCGTTTTCATTTAAAAGCCTCCTGTAACAAGTTCAAACTGCTATGAAACTATGAAAAATGCTTCAATACTGATGAAACTTGACACAAATGTTGACTAGACCACAGCCTCTGTAACAGCATGCTCATTTGTAACTTTGTAACTTTCCTGTTACTATGGCAACGGGGGGACGTCTCAAAATTGCCAAAAATCTATTTTGCATTGTTTTTTTCCATCAAAACTGATTTCAAAGTGCTGCAACTCCTCAATGAATTGAGATAGAGTAAAAGGCTTTTCAGCTTCGATTACTAGTTACCTTAAGATCGACCTGAGGCCATTTTTAGCCTGTCACATGTCCAAAATTTTCTTGGCGATGAGGGGGACTACCGCCCCCCTTCAAACCCCCAAACAGAAGGGGGTACACCCCTCTTCTGGCAACCCCCTGATATAACATGTTGATAGGGGCGGCGCCGAAAAAGTGGTCACTTTTTTAACAACATTTCTCAAACAAACAACAGTGTTTGGGGCCTAATTAGGGCATTTTTTCACTGTTTGATGCCTCAAAATAGGGGGGGGGGGGAAGCTATCAAAACACGCCTATATGAGGGAAAAGGGTAATATGGGTACTGATAAGGGGAGATCACTGCGTAGCTTCAAGGTTTCAAGGTTTATTTGAATACGTCAGGGCCCATATGGGCATGTGCGCATGTGACAACATAAAACAGTACATACATACAAAATACTACAAAATGGCAAATAATATGTAAAAACAAAAAATCTACTACAAAATGGCAAATTATAAATGGTCATACAACTCCATGATGTAATAAAATTACAGTAATAATTGACTGATAATGGAGGATGATCTCGAGAGAAAAATCAAAAATCATTGCGAGAAAAAAACAAAGAGAAAAGACATAAATCTAATAAGCTAACATTATTTAAATAATAACATAATATTTTTGCAAAATATGGCAAGTTTCAAAAGGATATCTTTATTACTATGGTTCATTAATTTTTCAAATTTTAAAGCACTTGGACGTTCATAGAAATATTTATCAAGATACAGCTTTCTTGTATTAACTAAATGTGAACATTCAAAAAGATAACGGAATTCGTCGCCTAAAGAGTTACTGGTACATAGGTTACAAGTTCTAAGTTCTCTTGGAATATCATCAAACCTTCCTTTTTCAATAGGAAGTTTGTGATTCATACTTCTAAATTTTAAGCCTTTTGAATTTAAGTCTAAGGGAAAATCAATACAAGAGTCTGACCTACAAAAAATGTCAACTTCCGGTTGCCACCGAAATTTATTTTTTATTTTATTTTTGGCTGTTTCATTATTGAATTTAGTTTTCTGTTGGGATACAGACAACCTAGAACTTTATGATTTAGTCGAAGAAGTGAACGAAAACTTTTATGATGTCTTAGGTGTAACAAGGGTAAGCGTCCGAGTTTGTTAGGTAGTGTTACAGAAATCGGATATAATTTTTTAACTACTAATCTTAGTAGGGTACTCAATATTTCAATGTATTTATAAGACTTAAAATACTTAGTTTCAGGTTTATTTTACTGGTATTTACTGCTGCATCTTTTCATAAAAGTGTACAATTCATTGAGCTGTTTGGAACGGAAAAGAGTCAACTTGGCTCTACACCAACTCGGCACGGGTCAACTAGGCCCACTTTACAAAAATATATAGGCCTATAACGTATTTACTTTGCTTTGCATGTTGTTAAAGTATATGAATAATAAGAAATATCTTATCATTATTATATAATTATACATTGTACCTCTGCTGAAATAAAGTATATTTAGAAAAAAAAGTTATTTATTTGTCTTGCAGATTCGATGAAATTAATATAGACGCAGGCACGATTATCGAACATGGGAAGAAAAGATATGAACAGATTGATAAAATAACTTCACATTTTTTCTTCCCAGATCCGATACTTGGGCCTGTGAATATAGATATAATAAAAATGTGTTTCCTTAGATGCATTTTGTTTGTAAAGTTATTTTCAAAAAAATATGAAACAAAAACGTATTTACTTAATAGCATAAGCTTCTAATTATTTGCAGGTGGTCACTAATCAAATTTGAATGAATGAGTCAATTATAATTATCACCTAATTAATCGGTATCTTTAACTTACACATTGATTGATAATAATAGCCCGTGACAATAGGAGTCCTTTGATGTCCTTTACCCATTTTTAAAAGTGGGTCGAGTTGACCCGTGCCGAGTTGGAATAGGGCCGAACTGACTCGGGGGCCGAGTATGTTTTAGGGCCGAGCTGACCCGGATTCGTTTGGAACATGTTGGGTCAGATCCTGCACCCCCTCCCCTCCCCAAATGTGATACGCCCCTGTAAACACTCTATCAGAAATATTTTAATATTTAATCACGAATGGGATATTTGCTACAACGATAAAACTGGTTTTCAAACAATTTTTACATATCTTAAAAAAATACCTTTTACCATCTCAATGAAGTAAAAGGTAGTGGCTAGCCGTACGAGCCCGTATGCGTGACGTCAATTATCGACAGTGTAGAAGCTTGTCCATCATTAAGGAAAATTTGCATGTTCCATGAAACGCATTCTAAAATTCTATTGTCAGTCCCTGGGTAGGCTTTAATAAAGGCTAATTTATTGATTGTGCTTTTTTGTTCGATATTTATCTACTGTATTTGAAATTAATAAAATTATTTTTGCTTTTCACCATTTTTTTTTTACCGTTTTTTTTTTTTCAATATTCTTTTAATCTCTTTATTTATTCCGCTCTGATCATTATTTATTCGATCCATGTGCTTAATTAATAAAAATGATTTAACAATACATCTTTCATACAAATAAAACAACAAATCATAAGCATGAAAATCAAGGATGTTATAACTTATTTATCCTGCGACTGTCAATATCATCAGCTGGATAAAGCCTTGCCGGATAAACTTATCTATCTCCAGTCATTACGTCATATGATGACGTCACATGTTTAGCAGCAAAACAAAACTACATATAGATGCTATTTTATCGGGGAAAAAGAAGAAAGAAACCATTTAATTATTCTAAAAACATTATTAAAAGCAGGATAAATCAAACACATCGTTGATGTCGGGCTGGAGAAGGTTTATCCGGTTCGCTGTGAAAGTGAATCTTGGCTCACTAAAGCTCGCCAAGATACACTTTCTCGCTCGACGGATAAAACTTCTCCATCCCGACATCAACCATGTATTTTCTATAACATGCAACTTTGACACTTTTATCAAGATAGATTATACAATGCTTGTTAGTATTCATTTTTTTACAAAATGGCAGAGCATCTTTATTAAAACAGAAACAGCAACATTTCATTAATAAATTGGGTTTCATATCAACTCCAGATCTTATTTTGGTGTCCAGACAACCAAACTGAGTTTTATAAGCATGAAAATCTGCAAGTCTGCGAAATCTGAAGTACACTTTCTTTCATGTGAGAAAATTCGCCTTTGGATCATCTGTATTTTAGTACATCAATATTAAATCAACAAACATGGCTATAAGTGGCAGTCCTAATTTAAGGGTATACATCCGCATTGTAACAGATGTTTTATCTAATCTTTTTTTATGAGATGATTACTTTTGTCTAATTGCCAGGAAGCTAAAACGGTTAAAGTGTGTTTGCACAGACAAGTTCTCATATTTGCTGTGTCCCGGGTAGCAACTTTAACACTTTGACGTAGCGCATACTTGACCTGATTATAGTCTTCATTTGCACATTAAATTTGTATACAAGCTTTAGTGTTACCATGGGGTTTTCCATTAAAAATCGTAAATTAAGAACAATATTTAATGAGATTTACAACAATACTGTGAAAAAGGATAAGGAAACTGTAGAATGCTTGGTTTTTAGACCCAAAGTCAAATTTTTCAAATGTAAATAATGCAGCTTTAAGCAGGGTGAAACCATTATAGAACCGTTATGTTTTATACACAGATCATGTCTAAAATGAGGTTGAGGAAACACAGGTACAGTGTGTTTCAGTCGTGGAATCTGGATGTAAACATCGGAGCCATAGTTTGTTCTAGAGGAGGTTTCTGATACTTTGGTTCTCACATTGAGTTCAAATAATGTGGCATATACCTTTTTCTGTTTTTATTTTTTTTGTTTATTTTTGCATAATTTATTTCCATTTTCCCGTTAGTTTTTAGCTCGACTTTTCTATGAAAAGGGGAGCTATCCTACTCGCCCCGGCGTCGGCGTCGGCGTTGGCGTCACACCTTGGTTAAGTTTTTCGTACCACCCCACTTTATTTCAGAAGTATTACAAGTATGGCTTTGAAACTTACCATACTTGTTCACCATCATAACCTCCATCTACAGACAAGAGTACATAACTCTGTCAAGGTTTTTGACAGAATTATGGCCCTTTTTTGACTTAGAAAGTGTATTGAGCTTGGTTAAGTTTTTTGTACCACCTCACTTTATTTCAAAAACCATTGGAGGTATTGCTTTGAAACTGACCATACTTGTTTACCATCACGACCTTCATCAACAGACAAGAGGACATAACTCTGTCAAGGTTTTTGACAGAATTATGCCCCTTTTTGACTTAGAAAATACATTGAATATGGGTAAAATCCACTTATTGCCTTAACCCTTTGAGATATTGCTTTGAAACTTTTAATGCTATTTCACATCATTACCCCCATCTGTACGCAAGAGAAGGTAACTCTGTCAAGGATTTGTTTTAAAAATTAAGGCCTTTTATCGACTTAGAATCTTGGTTAAGTTTTTAGTACCAGTCCACTTTTTGACTGAACTGTTTGAGATATTAATTTGAAAGTTGGAATACTTGTTTACAATCATGATTCCCAAACATGTCCAGGAGAAGGTAATTCTGTCAAAGATTTTATTTGAATTATGGCCCTTAACTGTCAATGTTTTGTATTATAGGCAAGCACTAAAAAACTTAAAAAATCTAAAAAAATTCATTCCTATCCACTGAACCTGCAGTGTTCAAGGGTATCACACAATTCAGTAAAATAATTCTTCACTAAATATCTTAATGCTCATGGCCATTGTTCACTTTAAAAATACAGAGATTCTTGTATTGCCTTTTACTGCAAAAACTTTTTTTATTGGCAAGCAATAAAAAAGTCGAGCGCGCTGTCTTACGGACAGCTCTTGTTAGCTCACCTGTCACAAAGTGACAAGGTGAACTTTTATGATTACAATTCATCTGGGTTCAGTCTGTAAACTCTATCTTTAAACAACATCTCCTCATAAACCACTAAGCCAATTTCATCAAAATTCTCAGGAATGTTCCTTTGGTGTTCATTTAAAGAATTTAATTCCATGCAGAACTCTGGTTGCAATGGCAAATTTTCTTTTTAAAAGCCCAAAGAGCTAGAGCTTAGATATTGGGCTTGAAAAATCTTCAAGTGTGTGTCTACCAAGTTTGTAGGGGTCAAAATTGGCCCCGCCCAGGGTTGTTTTTTTTTTCCTTGTATGTATTTAAAACTTAATTTATTTTTTTTTAAAAATCCAAATAGCTAGAGCTTAGATGTTAAGCATGAAACATCTTCTAGCAGGTGTCTACCAAGTTTGTTCAAATAAAAGCCCAGGTGTCAAAATTGGCCCACCCTGGGGGATCATTGATTTTCATTAAATGTATATAGTAAAAACTTAAAAAATCTTCTTTTAAAAAAACCATAAGAGCTAGGGCTTAGATATTTAGCATGAAACTATCTGAAACATCTTCTAGTGAGTGTCTACCAAGTTTTGTTCAAAGTAAAGCCCTGGGATCAAAGTTGGCCCCCAGGGGGTCATTGATTTTCCTTAAATGTACGCATCTTTTGGAACTGTTGTTAGCAACCACTAATGTTTTTACACATGCACTATTTCAGATACAAATATGAACTTTATGATATCAGTTTAAGATTTAGATTTTATTTCTGCTTTTGTTTATAGTTTGCAATATTACTTGTTCCTTGTCATGGAGAGTTATTTATATTCAGACGCGATTTCAGGGCCATCATGGCACTCTTGTTCTATTATGCTGTTGGACAGCCCATTTAATTCATTTGAAATAAGTTTTCTGCCTGTTATATTCAAATATCATTTTCAAAAAGTCAATCAATTTTGTGAGTTGCTATTCATTGGAGTTAATCATATAGTCATCATTCATGCTGGTAATTAAGGATACAGATGAAAAAATCAAATTGTTACTTATGTTGACAAGGTACAGAAAAGTATAACAATAGAAATTGAGTGCTGATTTGTATAACAAACAAACAAAATAATTTTTTTTATGCCTTAGCAGTGAACTTTTGTGTGTTGTTGCATTTGTGTCCTTCAGACATGATTCTAGTTTCTATAATTGTTACAGAGTGCATCAAACAGTGAAATCAAGAAGGCTTACAGAAAGAAGACATTGATTTTACATCCTGACAAGAATGAAGCTGTAGATGCAGAAGAACAGTTTAGAAAGGTACATTGTGTCAATTACATGCAATTGTTTTAAGGGCACAATATGTCTCAGAAATATTGTTTTATCATGTAGATCAAACACATGTTTGTATTTTTACTTCCAGACAAAATACTTAATTCCTATAATTCTTATTCTTGCCATAAGAAAGTGCAAAAGAAAGAAAAAATAGTTCATCTGTATAGTTAATGAGTAACTTTTTGGAAACTTTAAATATCAAAAATGAATTTCTTGATGGAATGGGCCTCTAAGTTTTAATTGATTTAAGGTTACATTCGACAGGAACGTCTGAAAATTATTTGAGATTTTTTATATACATTGTTTATGCAATAGAAAATACAGTGAGTCATATTATTTTTTTCAAGGCAGAATTTAGTGCCATTTATAAGGTCAAAATACATTCTTTTTCCACAATTAATGACTATTTTTGAAATGAAAAAAAATTGGGACTCACTGTAAAGATAGACATAAAGATCTTTAAATTTCTTTAAAAAGAAAAATAAATGAATGAACATAAAGTTTGATTTTTTTTATATAATAGTATAATCCTTTCGAGGAATACAAATGAGTTATTTATTGATTTTGTTTGCTATTTTTATCAGAATTTTTGTTTGAGTTAAGTCTTATAATATCAAGACAACTTTAGAAATATATTTATTTTTGTAGGTAAAATAGCTTTCTATACCTGGTTTATGAATTGTTCATTTCAGCTTGTGGCTGTGTATGAAACATTGAAAGATGAAGAAAAGAGAGAAAAGTATGAAGTCATTTTTCTATATTATCATTATTTATATATTATAAACCCTTATGATATTGGAAGTTGGAACATAAAATGATATGCCTTTGCAACTGGTTTGATTTTTGTATTTTTGATACTGAACTAGGAAAAGTATATAGTTTCTGTGTATGTAAAGTCTAAGAAAGGTAGCAGGGATCATATGTGTACTATGTCAGTAGTGATAAGCCTTTGCTACCAGTATATAGCACTTTATATACATGTAAATCTGTACATAGAGCTGTACTTAGATCTGAACACAGGGCTACATACAAAAAAATCTGAAATCTGACCAGTTTCTAGACAGTTGAATGCTCAATTTTCACCATGTTAATATCTAGGTCATTCAGATTCAAATTTGAACAAGTCCACTACACAGATTCAGTAATAAGATGCTAATGAGTTGGTATTTAAGATTATAAAAGTGTTTATCACATAAATAAAAAATGATACCATAGATTGGAAGCATCTCTAAGCTTCATACATTTACAAATAAAAGTTTATTGTATGTTATGTACATTTCAATAATTTTAGATAAAACACATTACATACACTCTTGAAATCAAGAATAGTTTTTAATGGTATAAAAGTACGCTTCTTACAGTTTTTTTTTACATGTTCTTCTATGGCCTTTGTTTTACAATATTAATAATAAGATTATATTTTCTTCATTTAGGTATAACCATGTACTTGACTTTGGTTTGCCTGACTGGAGACAGCCTGTGTATTACTATAGAAAAGCTCGTAAACTTGGACTCCTTGAGTTGGCCTTGGTACTCTGTCTCATTGTAACTATTGGCCAATACTTTGTTATGTGGGCAGTCTACCTGGAGAGAAGATTAGCCTTGGTAAGGACAGGTCATCATTCATTATGTTATACATTTGCTTGTTATACACGTAATTTTAGAATAAATGTGTAAGGTTCAGTTCTTTCTAATATTATGTACATGCTGTACACAGTTAGAAATAAATTCAGCAAAATGTTTTTATTCAGGTTAAGATGTAACTTGCTCAGAGGCTTTTTTATGTTGCTTTTGCCAAAAAGAAAAATGGTTGATAATAAATAAACAGGATTAATGGTTCAGATAAAAGAACTTTTTTTTTTAAAGATTACAAAAAAATTCCCAAACAAATTGAGCACATTCAGTGCTTTGATTTTTTATTATGCTCCTGGGCATATAGTTAGTAAACCGTCTGTCTGTCCTTATAAGGTTAACCTAAAACTGCAAGTTGGATTTATCTTACTTTCTAAATGTACATGTACCTGCTTCATAATTTACACACATAATTATAAATACAAAGTACATGATCTTTGCAAGTTACATAACTATGGCTTCCATTTTTCCAAGTTATTGCCCTTTTCAGCACTTTGAAAATGAATATGGAAAACTTAAGTGTAATAGTCTATTTATTTAAATGATATGTTCCATATTTGGTAGGTGGAAACCTTAAATGGATCTTCTTCCTTTGGATTGTTATATAACTGTGTCTACAATTTTTTTGGCAAATTTTTCTTTTCCATAACTAAGTGAATGGGTAAATCTTTTTTTGAAAATTTGCTAGTGATGACAATCTTGGCTGGGGGCATTTGTTTTTATCAAACATGTTCTTTAACAATTTCATTAAGAATACTGTTTAAAATGCATATTAAGACATCTCTTTTTTTAAATTTTATTTTGGAATTTTAGGAAGACTTTTTCGAATCAAAGAAGAAAAAAGAGACAAAGAAAAAAAAATGTAAAGCAGTTGTACTGAATGAGCAATTAGAAGAAGATATGATGGAAACTCTACGATCTATCCCCAAACCTAATCTCCGGAACCTGTGGCCTATTACTTTTACTATATGGACCTTTAAAACGTTGGTTGCTCTACCAACAATGGTGAAGGAATGGCAAGAGAAGAAAAGACTGATGAAAGAATGGGAGAAACTTGAGAAGGAAGAGAGAGAGCGACAGGAAGCAGAATATAAAGAGGAATTGGGTAAAAATAGTGGAATGATGATAAATTATTAACCAAGTTTTCTGTAGGGAAAAATAACTGGCCATTAGATTACATGCATGTCAGTATGTAGGCTGCATTGACAAGTCAGCTATTGGCTGGGTGCAATTTCTTTAACATTTTTTAAGGCATTTCAAGTAAACTTTTACAGAACAATGTAATTAAAGGAGTTCCAATGAGGAGAAAATGTCAGTAAAGATTTATACCCAAACTTAAATTGAAACTTAGATTTTAGTGTGATTCTTAAACTGTTTAAAGGCATTTAAATGCTTTTATTTTTGGGGTTATTATACCCCCGCACAACAAAGTTGTAAGGGGGGTATACTGGAATCAGATTGTCCGTCCGGCCGTCCGGCTGTCCGGCGTCCGTCGGCTTTTTCTTGTCCGCCCAATAACTTAAGATTCCATTGACCCATAGTCTTCATATTTGGCATGGAGGTTAGTCATGATAAGTAGATGACCCCTATTGATTTTGAGGTCACCAGGTCAAAGGTCAAGGTCACAGGGGCCTTGACTATAAGAAGCTTGTCCGCCCAATAACTTAAGCTTCCTTTGACCCACAGTCTTCATATTTGGCATGGAGGTTAGTCATGATTAGTAGATGACCCCTATTGATTTTGAGGTTACCAGGTCAAAGGTCAAGGTCACCGGGGCCTGGACTTCAAAAGCTTGTCCGCCCAATAACTTAAGATTCCTTTGACCCACAGTCTTAAAATTTTGCATGGAGGTTAGTCATGTTTAGTAGATGAGCCCTTTTGATTTTGAGGTCACTGGATCAAAGATCAAGGACACAGGGGCCTTGACTTCAAAAAGCTTGTCCGCCCAATAACTTAAGATTCCTTTGACCCACAGTCTTCATATTTGGCATGGAGGTTAGTCATGATAAGTAGATGACCCCTATTGATTTTGAGGTCACCAGGTCAAAGGTCAAGGTCACAGGGGCCTTGACTTCAAAAAGCTTGTCCGCCCAATAACTTAAGATTCCTTTGACCCACAGTCTTCATATTTGGCATGGAGGTTAGTCATGATTAGTAGATGACCCCTATTGATTTTGAGGTCACAAGGTCAAAGGTCAAGGTCACAGGGGCCTTGACTTCAAAAAGCTTGTCCGCCAAATAACTTAAGATTCCTTTGACCCACAGTCTTCATATTTGGCATGGAGGTTAGTCATGATTAGTTGATGATCCTTATTAATTTTTAGGTCACTGAGTCAAAGGTCAAGGTCACAGGGGCATTGACTTCAAAAAGCTTGTCCGCCCAATAACTTAAGATTCCTTTGACCCACAGTCTTCATATTTGGCATGGAGGTTAGTCATGATTAGTAGATGACCCCTATTGATTTTGAGGTCACCAGGTCAAAGGTCAAGGTCACAGGGGCCTTGACTTCAAAAAGCTTGTCCGCCCAATAACTTAAGATTCCTTTGACCCACAGTCTTCATATTTGGCATGGAGGTTAGTCATGATTAGTAGATGACCCCTATCGATTTTGAGGTCACCAGGTCAAAGGTCAAGGTCACAGGGGCCTTGACTTCAAAAAGCTTGTCCGCCCAATAACTTAAGATTCCTTTGACCCACAGTCTTCATATTTGGCATGGAGGTTAGTCATGATTAGTAGATGACCCCTATCGATTTTGAGGTCACCAGGTCAAAGGTCAAGGTCACAGGGGCCTTGACTTCAAAAAGCTTGTCCGCCCAATAACTTAAGATTCCTTTGACCCACAGTCTTCATATTTGGCATGGAGGTTAGTCGTGATAAGAAGATGACCTCTATCGATTTTGAGGTCACCAGGTCAAAGGTCAAGGTCACAGGGGCATTGACTTCAAAAAGCTTGTCCGCCCAATAACTTAAGATTCCTTTGACCCACAGTCTTCATATTTGGCATGGAGGTTAGTCATGATAAGTAGATGACCCCTATTGATTTTGAGGTCACCAGGTCAAAGGTCAATGTCATAGGGGCTTTGACTGAAAAAAGCTTGTCCGTCCAATAACTTAAGATTCCTTTGACCCACAGTCTTCATATTTGGCATGCAGGTTAGTCATGATTAGTAGATGACCCCTGTATATTTTGAGGTCACCAGGTCAAAGGTCAAGGTCACAAGGGCCTTGAATGAAAAAATATTGTCCGCCCAATTACTTAAGTGTCCTTTGACTCACAGTCTTCATATTTGGAATGGAGGTTAGTCATGATTAGTAAATGACCCCTATCGATTTTGAGGTCACTGGATCAAAGTTCAAGGTCACAGAGGCCTTGACTAAAAAAGCCTTGTCTGCCCAATAACTTAAGATTCCTTTGACCCACAGTCTTCATATTTGGCATGGAGGTTAGTCGTGATAAGAAGATGACCTCTATCGATTTTGAGGTCACCAGGTCAAAGGTCAAGGTCACAGGGGCCTTGACTTCAAAAAAGCTTGTCCGCCCAAAAACTTAAGGTTCCTATGACCCACAGTCTTCATATTTGGCATGGAGGTTAGTCGTGATAAGTAGATGACCCCTTTTGATTTTGAGGTCACCAGGTCAAAAGTCAAGGTCACAGGGGCCTTGACTTCAAAAAGCTTGTCCGCCCAAAAACTTAAGGTTTCTATGACCCACAGTCTTCATATTTGGCATGGAGGTTAGTCATGATTAGTAAATGATCCGTATTGATTTTGAGGTCACTGGGTCAAAGGTCAAGGTCACAGGGACCTTGTCAAAATAAAGCTTTTCCCCAATGCCTGTCCAGAGTGTATTGATTTTGACATTTTCATATTGAAGCATGTAGAATACATAACTTAGCAATGCACTGGCTTAGTCACCTCAGATTTGGCAGGGTGGTTGTCCTTGAGTTCTAAATGGCCACTGTTGATTCTGACAAAGTGGTATGCGGGGGTATTCACGCCATGATAGTGGCAGTTCTAGTTTAAGTTTGTTCTCAAAAATTGAGTGAGAGAATGGTCTGAAATTTTGCATGCCAATATGGGTTCAGACCTAAATCAAATGGTACACAAATTTTAAACAGATATTTCCAGTCCCACCATGTAAAAATTCTAAGTTGAGTCCCTTAACATCGTCTAGCTTTTGTGGTTTGGTCATTCTTTGAAGAATCTATGTCTAATTTTCAAATGCAAATGTAACAAAATATTAGCAGACAACCTGGTTTTGTGTGACAGGTGACCCTGTCATTTATTTAGTGTAATTTAGTGTCAAGAAACTACAAAGCTAAACTTACTTTATCCACATTCTTTTTGAGACAACATTTTCAATTTTTACATATGTAGATAGTTCAGGTCTTGGGATTTTTCTCAAACTTACATCACATGAACATTTTAACAACAACAAATCAAAAGTATTATAAAGTTTCCTGTTAGATGTACCTTTTTTAATTTAAGTTTTGATTTTTCTTTAATTTTTAACCTGCAATTTAAAATATATGTTTTTGTTTTGACTGTATATATACATAATTGATATTTACATGAATGCAATTTGTCTTGTATTTCTCCATCTCTTTCAATGTTTACATTTCTATGGCAGCAATAACCACTGGAATACAAATGACATACTTGTAAGATTTTTATAAGTCTATTTTGGAAAAGTAATTTATCTTTTTTAGGAAGCCAATTTTTTTTTTTTGTAAAAAAGGGGAAATTTTTTTAAAACCCGAACCACCCCTATTTTCCGGGGAAGTGTGGGGAAACTTTTCCCTGTCCCGTTTTTTAAACGGTGGGCCTGACTTTTAAAAAAGAACAAAAACACCCGGGATTTCCTAAAAAACAAAAACTGTCTTTTAAAATGTGTTTTTGTTTTTTTAACAATAAAAACCCCTTTCCCTTTTTTTAGTAGTTTAGCCCCAAAAAAAAAGGAAAGGTTTGTCCCAGTAAAATTTTGGGGTAAAATCTCCAGGAAAAAGATTGGTTTTGGAAACTAACCCCGGCCCTTTTAAAAGACTTTAAAAAAAAACTGTTTTGGGGAAAAAGGGGTTTTAAAAAGAAAACAAAAAAACAAGCAAACAAAAAACTGGAAAAAAAAAAAGTTTTTCCCCAAAAAAATTTTTGGGCACAGTAAATTTCTGTGGAAAATTTTTAGCAACAAAATTATTTTCACTATATTATTTTTTAAAAATTAAAATGCTAAAAAAATTTTTGTTTAAGGGGAAACAAAGCTGTAATAAAAGGGTGTGTGGGGGTTTGGGGGGATTAAAAATTTAAATTTTTCATACGATATAATGTGTTTATTCTTCAGTGTTTAAAAACTTTCGAGTTGGATACATATTACTCCAAATTTTTTATAATTGGGGAGTTCCTAATCTACCCCCGTATGGGAAAAATTTTTGCTGTTAAAAAACTGGGCTTATTAAAATTTTTTACATTTCCCGTATTATTTTAAAAAAAAAGTTTTTAAAAATGTTTAAAACCAATTTTAAAAAAACCTTAAAAGTAACGTAAATAAAAATTTTTTTGTGTCTGATAAAATTTGACAATATTAAAATTCTTCAAACAAGGGGAATTTTTCCCCAAACCCAAAGCATCCGGTGCAAGCTTTTTAAAAAACAAAAACTAACATGTTCTTGCTGTCTAATCATGGCTTGTACTATTTAACAGTTAGCTAATGAGTTTTCACAATCAAGCAAGGAAACTAATTTTTTTTTAAGTTTCATTTTTGGGATTGCTATAATTTTAGACATAAAGTAACAATAATTTGAACATGAATGTTTTAGGGATGGAGCCTGGACAGATGAGGATTATGTTATGTTATCTAAAGCTTATATCAAATTTTCCTGGAGGAACTGCCAAACGATGGGAGAAAATTGCTGAGATGGTCGGTAGATTCCCGGTTGGGGAGGTAAGATTAATGAAACTTATATAGTGGAGACATGGTTATTCAAACAGGCCATATTCCAGAATTACCCTCAAAAACAGATGATTTAACAAGTCTTGACTCTTTCCTTCTTTACCTTTACATGGATTCTTGTCAATTACCCCAGCCCCTAATCAAATGATAGATCAGGAGCATAACATGTTTGTTATATCTGTTTTGCTGCAAGTTTAAACATGTAGTAACTTAATCATTCTAACACTATCGGAATTTTTTCTATATAAACAAAGAAGACCCGAAGCGTGCATTATTCTACAACAATGCACTCGCCGTTCTTATTATCTCCCTGTGTATTTTCACATTGAGGGCGCCATTTTGTCTGAAAAATCTGATAAATAAAAAACAATTTTTTGTCGAATTTTGTTGTGAAAACTATCTAGAATGAAAAGAAAATGGTCTAACTAAGAAAATGATCCAAACACCAATATCTTTAATTCGGTCGTTAAAGCTGTACAGACATTTAAAAAGTGTTGTTTACGTGACATCACAATGTAGCGACAAACAGCACGTGCAAAACAATCAAATCAAGTCACACTATTTTAATGTCGCAAACGAGTTAAGTTTTACATTTATTTCACTTTTAAAGTAATTTGTATTTCGCTTGAAAAATTATAGAGTGAAATAAAATAAACAAACAAAGTTTTATCAACGTTTTCAAAATTCGTTATTCTACAAAAAATAAAATGTTTCTACACACGGTAAAAATTAACGACAGTTTTTATCAACCCACTGGAACAGCCTTTAAAGAACGTTTCTATTGGAAACTCTGAGGCGAAAACAAATTTAACCACCAAACATAAAGTCCAACTTTATAATAATAATAATTATATTTTTTCTTGACGTTTTAGAATGGAAATAGATATTAATTCTTCGTGCATTATTGTATAATAATGAACGTTTTTCGTTCAAATGCTTTGTAATTAATCACTCAGGCCTATCGGCCTTTGTGATTATATTACTACGCATTTGAACTCAAACTGTGCATTATTCTACAAAAATGCACTCAGAATTGATATCTATTTACTAATTAGAGAGAACATTTAAAATTTATTATTTATGAGCTTAAAGGCGTCATATCTAAAACAGCATAAAGCGAACATTACTCCATCAAGGGATGGTTTTGTTCTATTCAAATATGACCATGACTCCCTAATATCATGGACTCAGGGTGAAATTTCTATGTTTGTGAAATTTCACTGTAATGTTTTTATGTAATGCATGTATCAGAATATTTAGGACAGGTACTTTTGTGTTTGATGAAGACTTGGTATAATTGTTTTTATAGAATATTTTATAGTGTATTGTATCTGTCTACATTTTGACAGTCTACCTTATAGTTATGAAATGGGTTATTAGTTGATAGGGGTGCAAAGATTCAACCTTCCCTCGATTTGATTCCAGATTATGGTTATGGATTCAATTAGTTTTGTTCTATTACTCAGGCTATGTTAACATTTATTTTTTTGTAGGGAATAATTTAAAAATAATATTTATCTACACTGAGAGACACCCAACTTAAATGACCCAAGAGTGTTAACAATTGTGGTTTGTCTTCCATTTTTAAATAAAACGTTTTACTGTTTACATTACATGCAAGTTGATTGGATATTAAAACCTTTGAAAGAAATGCTTGCTTAGAAAATGTTTGTTTAATATTAGAAGGAGAGACAACAAAGCAAATTAATACACAATCATGATAAACAGAGAATTGTTTCTCTCCTAGTTGATACCAACTTATAGTTGCAGTTGATTTATTTTAAGTCTCATGTTTAAATGGTGGAGACAAACTTTGTGACATAATTTTGTTTTCTTTTTCAAGGTAACCAACAAGTGTAAACAGATGAAGGGAAATTTTCAGATGAATCTCAGCTCTTCTGTCCAAGGTATGGAGCTTCAGTATAGTCTAACAGTTGTTAAAGATATTTATATTAAACTAAATATCAAGGGCAGGCACAGTTTATTAATCTAACAAATACTTTTGCAGAAGTATTCCCCCCTTTCTTACTTTATTATATAATCCTGTACAAAGAAATGTGGAGTGTGCTATCTGGGGGACAGTTCTTTTGTTAAAATGAAGTCACTTTAAAATGACTTTACATAGGGTTGATAATGTCATGATGATTTTGTAAATTTGTGATGTAAAGAAAAACAGAACATCTTATTAAATTTAGTTTAAATATATTTATTTCCTGAATATGTACATGTACATATAAATATATACATTTACAATTTTTATATTCAAGAAAAGGATTAGAACGTAAGACTAAGTCTGACAAAATTCTCCTCTATAGTGTATTTTTATAATGTTTCAATGTTTTAAAACAAAAGTCATTAATAAAAAAATAGTAATTGTAATGATGTAATCACTTTTTTTAGAGAATGATAAAATGTCATTTGAGAAAAGCATACAATTAACTGTAAGAGGACTTTTGATGACATGTACTGGAGTAAATATTTGTTACAATTTGTTTTTTCAGCTGGAACCAAAAACTCAAAGAAGCAAATAGAAATAAGTGATGAAATCATCTCAACTTTAGGTCCTGAGAAAACTGGACCTCAAAAAGGTGATAATGATGTCACTGTGAGGAAAAGAAATAAAAATAAACCTCAAAGTGATTCTGTAGGCAATACTGTTTCTATAAATAGTACCAGTGTAGAAACTGGTTCCAAAGTTTCTAGTCAGAAATTAGTTATACAAATTAAAGCATCTGAAAACAAGTCTAAAGTGACAAATGGTGCTGCTGCTGCTAACGATAAAACTGTTAAAGAGGAGAAGAGTAAAAACAATAAGAAATCTGAGGAAACTCCAGATGAAAAAGGATCGGACGCAGAGGCCTGGTCTCAAAACCAGCAAGTGATTCTAGAATGGGCTTTAAAACAGTACCCCAAAACTACTGAGCAGCGATGGGAGAAGATTGCTGAGCATATACCTGGGAAAAATAAGGTAAAAATTTACCCAAGGCCAGGCACTTTACTGATAGATCCTCTATTTTAAAGTTCATGGCAATAACTATCTTCCTTGGCTACAAGATTTGTATACATGTTCCAAATACATTATGGTATATCTGCTAACTAGATGGGTAACTACTTGTCTGTCGCCACTTTGGTAGGACATATGACATTTACAGCGTCAATGTGAGTTTAAACCCAACCTATCAGTCATGTATGAAGGGTTTATATGCTTTTGGGATTTGAAATGTATAATATATAATAGATCTGTCTGATGTATTTATTCACATTTTTGCTTAATTTAGCAAATCATAAGTTTTCTACACATGAAATAAAAAAAGCATGCTTACTTTTCCTACAGTTTCTTACCATATTTCTTAAACAAAGAAATTTCATGGCCAAAGATACAGTAATTATAATTTGCAGCTTTTTAACAACATGTATTTTGCAAATTTTAAAACAAAACATATTAAGTTAATAGAGAAGTAATTGCTAGTTTAAAAAAAATGTAAATGTTTGTTAACCCTTTCATTTCAAACAAGATGGGTATACTCATCTTGCCTACATTGCTAGCATGTTAGATGCTTATTTTGTTAAATGTGTAACCATAAAAGAAGTAAAATATAAAGAAAAAAATAAAGTGGTGTTGTGAAAATTATTGTAACTTTACTAAAGGCCAAAAGCAAAAAAAAATATGGCTAGTCAGTTCTATTTTAGAAACTTTATCAGAATACCAAAAATAATTTGCTTTTGAGAAATAATGAACTTGGCCTTTAAAAGCAGGAAATGTTTATTTAGTGGCTTAAAGTTTCTGACTTCCTAAAAAATATCAGCTTATGATTTCCCTGCATTATGAATAATAATTTAGATAAATAGGGGTGTCATAGACAGCAGAAAGTATAACCGTTGCATCTGAGACCTAACAACTTTGTTAACGTTTGCGTTCGAATAAAATTCTTAGATTTACAACATTAACTTTAAGGTATTAGGACCCTAATGGGCACTATCAGGAACTAAAAAATTGACATCATAGGTCAGACGTATACCTTAAAGTACACCTGTTTGCATAATTTAAACAAAGTTTACCGTATGGAAATCAAGTTATGGCCACTTTTCTGAACTCAAGCTAGGATGTTATGAGGGCCATTTTTTGGAAATGAGGATCTGCAATAACATTCTAATGAAAAATGTTTTCCCATTAATTTTTGGTAAGAAACAAATAGTACCATTCAGCTAACAATCCACATAAGCAAAATTATGGTTTCTACTTAAAATTTATGAAATCTGTATAAAAATGTTACCCTACCCCACCCATTTTTACCACGTGTCTGACCATTTTTCTGCTTAGGGAGCCTAATTTAAAAAATTCTTAAATTTACCCAAATGAGTGCCTGTTTTCAAAGTTTCCCTAAATTTTTAAAAAAGTATATTGGTTGATCTTGTAAAATATGAAATACTTTTACCGTCTAGTTTTGATTATATTACACTTTGAAAATATCAGGTACCATATTTGTTACTAGATTTAGCATAATTTAGCCAATAAATACCCATATAAATTAAAAAATCAAAATTAAACACTTTTTTCTTTCCAAATGGGACATGAGAGATACATAAATAATGTTAAAAGAAAAAAAGAAAAAAAAAAAATTTGACCCTTCTGGGGATTGAACCCATGGCCCTCATTTTCAATGTAGTTATCCCCCGCCGATGGAATCGGGAGGGGGATATAGTTTTGGCGTTGTCCGTCCGTCCTTCCGTCCGTCCGTCTGTCCGTCCGTGTTCACGCTCTGATACTTATGTGGCTATAATTAAGCTTGTATGACATTAATGTGGCTAAAA